AAATAGAAGATTCTTAATCTAATATATTTTTTAAAAGAGGAATAACTAATTTGGATACTTCATATAACTTTCTTTTGCTTATTTTAGCCCCTTTTTACCAATTTGCTGAAGTTAAATTGTTATCTCCCCTTGCTGGAACTCTTTAGTATTATTGGGTAAAAAGTGACAGGTATGTCAATATGGAAAGAAGAAAGTCATGTATGATTATTTTTTCTTTACCTAGGGAGTTTTTGTGGAGCATTATTGCACTATGAAAGAGGGAAAACTTATTTTAAGATATTTGAATGTAAGAAAGAAACAACAACTTAGCTTGAATAAACAAAACAGGCCCATAGGAAGCAAATTCAGTGTGGGGGGGGGGGGGGGACAACCTACAATGCTACATTATCAACTACCAAGAATTCCATAGAAAGTAAAAAAAAAATTGAAAGGTCATCAGATGTTTGTTTTTTTTTTATTTGGGGCATATACTTGTAGTAGCTATGCTTTCTATAGGGTTCTGTCCTCGGGGAATCTACATGTATTTCATGGTAATTAACAGTTACAAAATTTTTCCTAACAAGTACATTTGAATAGGAAATTTAATCAAATAATAACAGAATATTTTAATCAAAATATACATTTGATATTTTGTTTAAGGCACCTGGCCCCCGTTCAAGTTCAAGATCATTTTATTCACTCAAACCATTTCAGGTACATGAGGACAATGAAGAATATTTACAACATATATTTATTATAGCGAGCGCAGCGAGCGTCGCGAAGCGACGCTCGCGAAGCGAGCTCAATAGACTAACGTGTATGAACAGAGGAAATTCGGATTGAAATCTGTACATACGTCAGCCAAATTTCTCTGTGCAACATTCCCAGAATTCCTGCACTACCCAATGTCCTTTGCGCGAATAAATCAAAAATAGTAAAAAAATTAAAGGAACATTGTTTCTTACCGAAATCTTAACGAAATGATTTAGCCTTACCTTATTCAAAAAATACCCCCATGCCACAACACCGGCCTTCACCTTGCCCTTCGGAAATGATACAAATGACGTCACCGGAAACTTACGAATATTGACGAAGTTATGTCGGTTGCTTCCGTGAAACTCGGAAAACATGTTGCGGTGCATAGCAACAACTTACTTGAAAAGAACGATTAAATGCAATCTCTTTTCAATAAAACTAGCGTTTGCGTCCTAAGTCAACAGAACTTTTCATCTGACGTCATACTTTCGTCACTTCAACGGTTCGGGTATTTCCGATTTTGTCGGAAACTTCCGAGAAGTTTGGAATCTCGATCCCGATGCTTGGGAAATGATTTCTTTTTATAGTTTTGTTTTATTCTTTTTGCTTTCTTTTTCTTGAATGATAGACAGTACATGTGTAGGTTTTTGATAGTAAATAAACTGCGCTCGCCCCAACGGTCACACCGTAAAACATATTAAATTTAGGTCAGAGGTACAAATATATGATATACATAATTAGAATATGAAAAGGAAACGAAAAAAGAAAAACACATATGAAACATGTAATAATGAAATAAGCGAGGGGAAAAATCATGGAGGACTGACGAACTAAAATCATATATTTTCAATATAAACGTACGTAGTTTTCTTAGTGTCTTAGCAACTTGTTTTGTCATCAGTTGAGAAAATATAATAAAGAATAGTAGAATACAAACACGTATTTGATTGCATACTCTCAACAAATTAAAAAATAATTGGTAATTTCAATCTACATGTAAATTGTTTACGTTTCATAAATTTAGTGTGTTTTTGAGTTAACCAAACATCGTCATTTCTAGGAATATTTTTAATTTTACATTACATACATGTACTTTAAACTACTGTGTTACGTAACATTCATATATTGATAAAGTCAGATCTCCAGTGGCGTATATTCCACATAGGCAAAAAGGCTGTAGCCTACACATCATTTCCTCAAGAGTAAAACTTTGGTTGAATAAAGGGGCGGGGAGTTGATAATAAATCGTACCTATTAATTTATTTTGTTGGAAATGAAAAAAAGTATTCTTTGCAATCCGCACTTTTATGCCTAACCGATTATGTTTACAGTTTTGCTTTATATTTAAGGACAAAAGTATTCCTTAGCTTGAAATTTTTTAAGCCAAAGTTCAAATGTTATTAATATCAAGTCTGTATCAGAAAATTTAATCAAAAGCAACAGGATCCCATAATATGTACAGGAAACGAAATTGATAACTTGCATTATATTTGTTAGTCAACATTTTGATCGAATTTTGATTATTTAGTAAGGAAGTTTCCATATTTTCTAAGCGGGTATCAAGTTAAAGGATAAGTTCCCAGTTTTGTTAAGTGGTCTTCACATCACGATATAAATTGTTGATTATTTAGTAAGGAAGTTTCCATATTTTCTAAGCGGATATCAAATAAAAGGATAAGTTCTCAGTTTTGTTAAGTGGTCTTCACATCACGATATAAACTGTAATATATGTACAATATTATTTTCACTGGTCAAATTAAAGTTGCAGATGTCTGAGTTTGCAAAAGTGGTTCCTTTGACCCCCCCCCCCCCAATACCTATCGAGAGGAAGCCCCTTGTCTACCAAAGCTTTGCAGCTCAGGTTCAATATGTGGCTTCACACAAGCCTACACATTAGCAGAAAGGAATATACGCCACTGATCTCTTATTAAAAATCATCAGCTCAAAAGGAGATGCCACCGATTTAGGTACCCCACCGATATAGGACCCTCCACGTTAAATATTGGCAAAATTATTCGGGGGAGGGCACTACACCCCCCCCCCCCAAGAAAATATGAGTCGTTACTGCAGCCAAAACTTTGCCAGTTTGCAGTACAAAGTGGTAAAAATTTAAAACAGGCTATAAACAGATAAACATGATAAAAGACTGAATTCATATACATTCAAATTGGGGGGGGGGGGGGGGGACTTATCAAATTTTGTCGAAATTATTTTCAAAATAATTATTAATAAAATTGTATAAGGCTTTGTAAATTAATATTTGATACTTTTCTCTGAATAACCATAAAGGTATTATTAATACCATTGCAGAAAGAGATAAATTGGGTTTTTTTTTAAATGTTATATCACTTATATGTATCCACTGAAAACAGTTGGGGGAGGGGGCGTGTCAGTCGATCAAGGTCAGGATCCAATCGTTTCACCCCATCCACCTCCCTACAGCTTACATACTAATATTGAAATGGATAAAATAATGAAAAATTATAAGGGCTCTGGAGGGGTGTTGCTAAAACGAGGAACGGAAAACGGAACGGAAAACGTATTATATTTTTTATTTTAGACTAAATCACTTCAAATACACAAATTTATAAACAATATATATTTTATAAATTCAATCCCCCATTATTTAATTCAAGTTGATTTATTCGTGTTCATAAAATCTCTTATTCACGAAAATCGCAGTCATAGCAGTGACGTAGAAACGATTTTGAAGGGGGGGGGGGGGAGGGGGGTAAAATTAAACTTACCTGAAAAGAATATTTGCCAAGCGAAAAAAGAAGACGATTGTTTGATTCGGGAAGTGGGATAAGAGTAAACTCCAGCATCTTTCATTTTCTTAAACTCCTTTATGGAGTATTTTGTGTAATATCTCCTGTTAGTATTTTTAAAAGATTGTACCAATTTAAAATTGGCAGAAAGCAAACAACTTAGTGAAGGCTCAAATTTTATATGTTCAAGTCTCAAAATTTATATGAATGATACTGAGAGTCCGTTTGAATTTAAATACTTGTAATTTCCCTTTTATTAATTAAAAAGATACTAACTTACTGAATACAAAATGTAAGGAACATGAATATTCATATGATTGTTTAAAAATTGCAAGTAAGCTTTTTTTCATTTCTAAACAATTGGCAAAATGCTAATCCTCATATTAGGGGTAATTTCTGACAATTTAGTTTAATTTAATATTTTCAATTTTAATATTTTTCAATCTTAATTATTATTTCAAAGAAAATTGTTACATGTTTCAATATCTAACATAAATTGTTTATAATTTAAAGTACTATATTTGACTTTGTAACCCATTTGAGTTTGAGCAATTTTTTCAAAAATTGGCAATTTGTAAATCCCCATATCTCAATTATTTATTATATCCCAAGCTCAATATTTTGCAAAGATAATGTTTAGAGTTATATTTGTACAATAAAATCAAAAAAATTAATTTCAAAGATTGGTCTTGAAAGATTTGGGGCATTAAATTTGTAATGCTTTTGGCAATTCTTGAAAATTGGCATCATGCCAATTTTCAAGAGTTGTCTGCCCTTTGATATATTGCATATTTGATTATGATAAATGTCAATTTTGAAAGAACATAGTCTTATGTTACTTAAAAATACCTTAATGGAAATGCAAGTTTAATTTTGAGTAAAATAAATCAAATGTGAATTTTACCATTTTTCTTGAATTTTTTAAGTACTTGTACTTAAATGTGCAAAAAGGAGTTGGCGCTGCCTACGGCTGCCATGTTGAATGATGGGAATTTTTTTTGGCCATTTTTGAATAACATATTATAAAGTCAAACTACCCACAAAATTTCATTAAGATATGACAACCTTCGATTTGGACAATTCTGCATGGTTTTCTCGCGGACTGACTCTTAAGTAGAGTGTACATGTACATGTATACTACAGGCAGATACGCGGAAAATGTAATTTTAGAATTTTGACCTATATATATTCCCATTTCCTCACACAGGGGAGAGTTTCAGAAGTTTGGGTTATTCATTCCGAATAGCTCATAACACCCTAAGCAGTATCATTCCAGATGTTTGTACCGCCCTGTTCAATGCCCTTAAAAATGTGCATCTCAAGGTAAACATAGACATGCTGATTAGTCAATAAACCTTTGAAAATAAAAAAAAATTGTGGAAAAGTATACACTGTGTCAAGTTAAATATGCTAATTACTGATCATAGGTGTAGCACAAACAGACTCAAGATTTTTTTCTTCTGACACCATTTAGCACAAACAGACTCAAGATTGAAAATGGATCGGTTACCGCCGCCACCCGGACTTAACCTTACTGGAAACTTAGCGGAGAACTGGAGAAGATTCCAACAGCAGTACGATGTTTACGCTGTAGCGAGCGGTGTCGCAAGCAAAGGAGACAAAGTCCAGGGGATGACCCTACTCCACGTGTTAGGACCGGACGCCATTGATGTCTACAACACATTCACGTGGACGGGAGACGACGATAAGACTAAGGTAGCAGATATCAAAAAGAAATTTAAGGAATATTGCAATCCTAAGAAAAATGTAACCTATGAGAGACACAGTTTTAATACACGAAATCAGAAGGAGGGAGACCCGGTCGACGCATTTGTGACTGAACTCAAACAAAAGGCAAGTGTATGTGAATTTGGTGAACTGAGAGATTCTTTAATAAGAGATCGAATCGTTTGTGGAATTCGAAGTGATACTGTGCGTGCCAGATTGTTAAGAGAACGAGAACTCACACTGCAGAGTGCCATAGACATTTGTAGGGCAGCGGAAGTGTCGGAATCGCAACTCCGAGAAATGGGAGAAGAGAAAAACGTTCACGCAGTCAGAGACAAGAAACAGAGGTACAAACAGAAGGATGCTCAACCCCAGCATAAAGGTCAGTGTAAATACTGTGGATTAGATCATCCTAAGGGGCCAGATCATTGTCCAGCTTACGGAAAAACATGTTATAAGTGTAAACAGATGAACCATTTCGCAGTCATGTGCAAGTCTAAGATGCGGACACATCCCGTGAAACAGAGAAACCCGAGGAAAGCAAAAGTTCATCATATTGAAGAGAGCCGAGAAGACTCAGATGATGACTTTTTCATGTATTCAGTTGACACACACAAGGATGATGATTGGACAGTAAAGCTACTAGTCAATGATGCAATACCTATTAACTTTAAAATTGATACTGGAGCCAAGTGCAATGTCATGAGTTTAAAAGCGTGCAAGTATGCCAACATTGACACTAAACAACTAATGCGTAGCAACAGTAAACGTTTCCTACTCTGGACATGCTATGAGAGCCTGTGGAAAAGTACGTACATCAGTGAGACACAAGGACCAGTATTTTCTTCTAGAAATACAGATTGTTGATGATGACGTCCAACCTGTTCTTGGACTCAAGTCCAATATTGACTTGAATTTGGTGAATCGTGTGTATACAGTGAAGAAGAATCAAAGTACCAAAAGTGCAGAAGGACTGTTGAAAGAATATGATCATTTATTTCATGGAATTGGATGTCTTCCAGGAAAATATGACATCAAGGTTGATTTCAGCATACCACCGGTAGTTGCGCCACCTCGGAGAATACCACATACTTTGAAGGACAAAGTTTTAGAAGAACTACAGAGGATGGAATCTATGAAGATAATCTCGAAAGTGGAAATCCCAACTCAGTGGGTCAGCCCTATTGTAGTCGTCAAGAAACCAAATGGGAAAGTCAGGATTTGTTTGGATCCGCGAGAACTGAATAAGGCTATTTTAAGGGAACACTATCCACTTAAGACCGTCGAAGAAGTGGTTGCTAACCTTAAGCATGCAAAGCATTTCAAAACTCTGGATGCCGCTTCAGGATTCTGTCAAATACAGCTGACCGAGGAGAGTTCGTGGTTCACCACATTTAATACACCCTTCGGAAGATTTAAGTTCGAGAGACTTCCGTTTGGAATATCGTCAGCGCCAGGAGTGTTTCAGAGGGCCATGTCTCATGTATTTGAAAATCAGCCTTGTGAAGTGATTGCAGATGACATTTTGATGTGGGCAGATAGTGAACAGGAACACTTAGAAAAACTCAGTCAAATACTGAAGAGAGCTGAGGATGTCGGATTACGTTTCAACAAGGACAAGTGCAAAGTAAACAAATCAGAAGTTGAGTATGTAGGACATGTTTTCAGTTCAGAAGGTGTGAAGCCCAGTGGTGAAAAAATCAAAGCAATTTTAGCAATTCCAGCACCAGAAAACAAGAAGGAATTACAGCGATTCATGGGGATGATAAATTACTTAGGAAAGTTTATTCCAAACTTGTCTACCAGGAACCAATCACTCAGACAGTTGCTAGAAACCGATGTTGCATGGCACTGGAATGACGAACAGGAAAAAGCCTTTAATGATCTTAAGGGAGCAATAACATCAACGCCGACATTGAAATATTTCGACGTTAATGAGGATGTCAAACTTTCCGTTGATATGGACTTGGTGCGTGCATCATGCAGAAGGAGCAACCTGTGGCTTATGCATCAAGAGCCTTGAATACAGCTGAGAGAAACTATGCACAAATCGAAAAAGAGATGCTTGGAATCGTGTATGGACTACAGAAATTCAACGAGTATGTGTATGGTAAAACAGTGTTAGTGGAAACAGACCACAAACCACTAGAGAGCCTGTTTAAAAAACCATTGTCTAGTGCACCTCCACGACTTCAACGTATGATGTTGAAAGTTCAGCAACATGACTTAGTGGTGAAATACAAAGCTGGCAAGGAACTCTACATTGCGGACACATTGTCAAGATCAACAGGATCAGATCCAGCTGAAGAGCAGGAGGAACAGTATGAAGTTCATGTTATAGAGACTATTCCTGTGAGTCAGGAAAAGGTGATGTTATTTCAGAGTGAAACCAAAAAAGACCCTGTTCTCATGAAACTGAAGGACACAGTTCTACAGGGATGGCCAACAAACCGGAAGGATTTAGACAGTGAACTTACTCCATACTGGAACTTTAGAGATGAGATAAGCATTGTTGATGGCTTATTGTTAAAAGGAGATCGTATCATTACACCAGAGCAACTTAGACCCCAGATGTTGAAAATTCTGCACAGCAGTCACCTGGGACAAGAGAAATGTATACAGCGAGCTAAATCAACATTGTTTGGGCCAGGAATAATCATGCAGTTGAAGGACATGATAGAACAGTGCAATATTTGCAACCGCTACAGGAATGCGCAGCAAAAGGAGCCAATGATACCACACGAGATCCCAAATCGTCCTTGGCAGAAAGTTGCAGCAGACATTATGTTTTTTGGGAATGCAAGATACTTGATAACCGTTGACTACTTCTCGAAGTTCATAGAGATCAACCGCTTACAAGATGGGAAAGCCGCCACCGTTATCGACATTCTGAAGCAACACTTTGCTCGACTAGGAATCCCTGAAGAGTTCATTAGTGACAATGGACCTGAATTCGCAAACCATGAATTCAAAAACTTTTCGAAGGAATATGACTTCCGTCATATTACATCTTCGCCGAGATATCCACAGAGCAACGGTATGGCTGAAAGAGCTGTGCAGACCATCAAAAATCTGTTTAGGAAGGCACAGGATGACCACAAGGATCCGTATATTGCGCTCATGGAGTTGAGGAATTCAGAAATACCAGGAGTGAAACTTTCACCAGCACAGCTTCTATTTGGACGAACCACAAGGACGCTCGTACCAACCGTCAAATCCAAATTGCGACCAATGGGATTTAACTCAGAACTTGTTCGCGAGGAACTCCAGAACATTAAAGATGCACAAAAGTCTCTTTACGATCGCAACTCAAAACCTCTTAAACCACTTGACAATGGAGATGTAATACGTGTTAGGATTCCAGGACAGTCTATCAAAACACCAGGAAGAATCGTTAGACCTGCAGAAACACCGAGATCGTATTTCGTACAACAAGGGAATACCACCGTGAGGAGGAACCGCAGAGACCTTATCAAAACGAAAGAACTGAGCACAGAACAACCAGTAGATTAGATACCGAAGAGTCTGTTAACGGTCACTGTGATTCGTTTTGTGATAACTCTAACCGTGTCAATGGTCCGTCTATCAATTCTGGAGACGAAACAACTAGTGTTACCACATCGAGTGGTCGGGTGATCAAAGCACCTCGCAGGCTGGTGACGGAGTGTTAATTCAAACAGTTAAAGTGAATTTCTGAATCTGATGTGTACATTCATTGTTCAGTTTTGTAGTTCAGTTTTGTTAGTTGTAGTAAAACAAAAAAGTAAGAATATTGAGAGCTGTTTTATTATAATGATAAAATGCAAATTTATTTCAAAATTAATGTAATTTTAACAAACATTTTGCAGTTAACTTAAAAGGGGAGATGTGACATTATCTGTATCTAAGAACAGTAACTCTTATACATGGTGTCAGAAGAAAAAAAATCTTGAGTCTGTTTGTGCTACAATAGGTACCATCTTCTGAAGCCGAGTGGGAGAATGTTGCTAGGGAGTTTATGGAAAGATGGAATTTCCCCAATTGCCTCGGAGCTATGGAAAACACGTTGTCTTTCAGGCTCCATTCAAAAGTGGCTCATTCTACTTTAATTACAAAAATACACATAGTGTTGTTTTAATGGCTTTGGTTAATGCCAACTATAAATTCATATACGTAGATGTTGGCAGCAATGGGAGGGTGAGTGACGGTGGAATATTTAGGGATTGCACCCTGCGCAGTGCCATGGAAGACAATTCTTTGAACATGCCGGGCCCAAAACCTCTTCCTGGGAGAGAGAGGGACGTCCCTTATGTTATTGTTGGGGATGAGGCGTTTCCACTTAAAGAGTACCTAATGAAGCCCTACCCTCAAAGATCAGGTCTTGATGATAAGCAGAGAGTATTTAATTATAGGTTGTCAAGAGCCCGCAGAATCGTAGAAAATGCATTTGGGATTTTGAGCAATAGGTTTAGAGTACTGAGATCCCCAATTCTGCTTTCACCAGAAAAAGTGGAAATCATGGTACTGTGCTGCTGCGCTCTTCATAATTTTTTGCGGCCCGATTTTCAAAATGCGGCTGCCGAGTGTGAGACGCCCCGGGAGATTGGCACAGGAATGGTCAGTTTGTCTAGTCAAGGATACCCCAGCAGTCAGAATGCCCGAGACATCCGTGATGAATTCAAGGAGTATTTCTGCACTAATGGACAAGTACCGTGGCAAACAGCTACTTAAGTACGTCTTTTACAGTATGTTCCTGTAAAACATTCTATAAAGTTATTAATAAGTAAAAGAATAACGAAATAAATACACCAGTAATTCTAGACAAATATTTACTGTTTTTTAGAAGAGATAATACTACATCAAAACATGCAGATATAATAAAAACAAATTTTCTTTTTTAAAATCTATCGGGGTTAATGTTTGCAATCGTCATAGAAGTGTATCGTTAGTTCGTTACAGCCCTTGAGTAAAATCAAAGGTTTGTAAAGTGTCTAATTCCGTCTTCGGATGCTGTGGTTTGATTGTAATTAAACTGATAATTTTGAGGCATAAATTGCTGTTGATTTTGCTGTAAAAAAGAAACCTGCGTTTCGCATATCAAATTTAGAATTTTGTTTTTTAGAACACATTTTTGGATGGTATTTGGCATGGACATTAGGGATCAGCGAACGTATTTACCTAAAACTACATCATCAGATTCTTGATCTTCGTCAGGTTGATTCAAGCAGTCTATGGCTTTTTGGAGTAAAAGATCCGACTGACTCTTTTTACAAATGTCCTTTTTTTTCAGAGGTGTAGAATAATTTTCTGATGCTGTAACTTCCAGAAAGCTGTCATCTTGATCCATATCAGTTGAAGGCTTGAAAAGGAATTATGATTTTTATGTCAAATTAATCGATATAAATTATGACATATCAAAAGCAATTAAGCAACAAATGTAAATGTCAACAGATCTCATGCATTAGCTAAATAATATATGGGAAAAAAATAAATGTATAGTCCTACAATGTTAGATTTTGACTTCCTTTTCTTCACATGGGGTTTTAAAAATCTATCCAAGTGCTGAAACATCGGCCATTTACTCTCGTAAATTTCCTCTGTCCCTGAACCACTTCTTTTTGAATCCTCAACTTTGTTTAATTCCTTCCTGTAGTAAGTCCTAAGATTGTTGATTTTCTGTTGAATTTTGTCTACTGCAATAAATGTTATTGAAATATAGATAAGAGGACGACTACTATATAAATAGTATTTATAAACAATTATGTATAACCTCACACAAACAGCTCAGGATAATTGAAAATAATTTAATTTTATTTGTATTCTCGCCTCTCATTGGTTGATTTCCAAAAAGGAACGCATAACATTTTGTATAATCTGGTTTGGTATGGGGACACACCCCCTTGACGACCAGCTTAATCATCATATCCATGCAATCCCCTCATTTCCAGTCCTCGGAATCCATGGAAAATTCCAGATTTAATAAATGTACCTTCAACTTTAAACAATTACTCGTTCTTACCTCATGTAAACAAACATCATGGCTGCAAGATCTATGTATCAGTTATTACCTCCCCTCGCTTCAAATCACTTCCGTTACTACGGTTGTATTATTGCGCGGTAAATTTGAACTTATAAAAAGCAACACAATTTTACATCAAAAGTTGTTTAATTAAAAGAGATATAAAAAAGCCTAAATTTCTCATTTTTGGAATGACCTTGACCTTTTACCTTTACATGAATTTTAAGGTCAAAGGTCAATTAATCTTATACAGTTGGTCCCATGTCTCTACGTCTTCTCGTTTTGAAAATTTATAATCATTCCTAAAATTCATAAAGTTTCAGGGGCAATAACTCATTGAAGGGTCAACGAATACGTTCGCAATGAATCATTGAAGTGTCTACTAAATTAGTCAAAAACAATAGTGAAGGTTTCATTTCTCTACGGTTTATGGTTTTGGAGGAGTAGTGATAACAAACTTTTTTGCGAAAGGGGTAATAACTCTGAAAAGGGTTAAAGTTTATTTACGCAGGGTCAACTGCAAAAATCTTTTACGGAGTACATTCCAATCAACTAAAAATCTTTTCAATAAATCTTGAAACTCAAAATCACACGGCGGAAAAATAATAAAAACTAGGAGACTTATTGTTCACAGAACAATAAGAGGTCTTTCCACCTTTTTAAATTTCTTATAGTTTTATATTTTACTCTCTAAATTTAATTTTAAGGGAAATGGCTTGAAAAAAAATGAAAATGTAAAAAAAAAAAAAATTTTTTTGAAATAACCTTGTCCTTTGACCTTGAAAAAAATTTCAAGGTCAAAGGTCAAGGGTCATATTGCAATTAACCCATGCTTCTACTATTTATAGTTTTCAAGATATAAGGTTTAATAGTAAGTATAAAGAAGTTAAAGGGCAATAACTCATATAAGGGGTCATCTGATTCTTTTGCACTTATACAGTGAAGTTAGGCCTAAAGATCCTTAAGGCATTAGTGAAGGTTTGGTGTCTCTAGGGTCTACAGTTTCGGAGGAGTAGCAATAACAA